TACAGATCCCAAGCTTTCTAAAAGTCCCACAAGATTCTGAAAATACCTATTGGCAGGGTGCCAGCAAGAGTCGATCGGCGCGTCCTATACTTTTCAGCCACCCTGTAGAATCACCTAGAAGCAAGTTGCATTTCAGTCTCAATGACTCAGTAGGACGCTTCACGATAATGTCCACTTTCCCTTTTCAGGAATAAGCTATTCTCAAACGTGGATAGACCAGAAATTCCGCGTTTATTATGAAAGATTTCGTTTGCTGACTTGATCGTGATGATACAATTATTTTTCACCCGTCAACAGTGCCCATTTCCAGTCTCTACCCGTGAGTGTCTGTTTAGACAACCTGCCGAAGCCTTGTAGCTAAAGCACGTCATCGTTCCCAAGCAAACTAGTCTTCACAATCACAATTTATCAGAGGTAACCTTTTCACCATTGTTGCTATAGTTAAGAGCGGTAAGTGTAGTAGCCCTGGAGCGAGTAAATGTGACAAGGAATTCACAGTTGTCTTCATTCCAAACATTGAAGAATAAAGCTTCTGCGTTCTCCGTGGTACGTGGTCATAGCGTGATCCATTGATTTAAAAACATATTCCACGATGAAAGAGCGTGCAGTCCATTCCATTGCACTTTTACCGAATTCGCTAAAGGATGCTGGCGTAGTAAGTAGAATTGACCATCCATATTAAGCAACATAAACTCAGGGTGTTGAGCATTTTGTAGGACCTAACTGAAGTACTTATTCTAATTTGCGCATAAACTTGATATCAAGTGTACGACATCAGCTTGTGACTAGGATGAATGCTGGAAAGCGACGGTAGCGGACTCTTTTGTAAATTACAAGAGAGTGGTTCGGTGAATATCTTTATCAGAGCGAACAGTAAAGGGAAGAGAAATATTGAAACTAGGGGGATTTCAATACTACACAAGTTTCTAATTATACTGGAAGTTGTTGTTAATATCTATCCAGCTTTGTGTAGTGGCAAGTGGCGCACTATCCCACACGCATGATCAGGTGTTAGAAGCCCGGATCGATGCCCGCCTAGGCCAACCAAGCCTTCCATCCCTCCGACGTCGGGTAATTGGTACCAGACTCGTCTGGGAGGACAAAAGCACTGACTTGTACATCGGCTGGTCACCGCAAGTCATTGTATAGGCCGCATACGCAATCATTGCGCCACTACGATTTTGAATGGAAGTCGAGTGCGGGGGCGCATCCCTCAGAAGGGATCGATTAATGCCAAAAACCTTATCCTTTATCCTTATCTATCTAACTTTAGGATGTAGATCCATTTCGTCTGAACACATTCATAGCTAGTCCAAATACACAGTACACTCCACGAAATTTTAGGTATGCTGTCTGACTGTAGGAATGGCTGGTGGGAAAGTTACGTGACGCGACCACTCGAGACGGATGGAAAGTAAATCGCAAATCTGTGATTACCAGGAACCTTTTGCTTCCTGTTTTTCCTAGACAGGTCCATATTTCGCATTTGAGACGAGAATTCTGCTAGAAGATCCACCAGGACTTCTTATTGGAGAGAAAACACATCTAATAGGCCGTTGGGAGCTTCTCATAATCAATCTTCACAGCTCGGTCCATTACTGACACATGGAGTTTCCTTAGTCCCAACTACAAACCCATGGAGCTGTACAAGGATTTCCTACTGCTGAAGAAACGGTTGATAGGGAGTTAACTTGCCAGGGTAGTCGAGAGTATCTATGAACCAAAGATGGTTACATGAATAGACATTGTTTTCCTTAAGATGGGGGGCCTCCAACGCGGCAGCGTTGGATAGGCCCGATTAGAAGATGTTGCTAAAAACTCAGAGTAGTTACAACTTTTGATGCACAAATGCTCCCATCAGAGTTGTAAATTGAGTACTGGTGGTGCAAGCTAGGACAATGTCGAATGGGTACTACTCTACTGTAAGGCCGAAATTTCGTCATAACTCTCTAACGGCACGGAACTATGTGCTAGGACCATTGTCTCTTCAACACAATTTGCTGCAGAAGAAATATTACTCTAAACAGCAGATATTCCCACAACTAGTACGTATTTTTCAAAATTTTCTCTTGGCCATGCAATTCGATTATTCGAGGGGCTGATGACAATTGGTTGTTTAGGACTGGCTTGCTTATACCGGTCTTTGGTAGACCTCAATTACATGCCAAAACGATGAAAAAGGTGAGCAATAAGGAATTGAGATGGAACTAATTGTGAGTAAGTACTGCAGGCGGAGCGACTTCAACACCGAGTGCTGGTTCTTTCAGCACAATGATTTTGATTTTNGAATTATGACTGAAATGCTCAACATTGGAACCCATGAAACAAAGGGGAGTAAGCCAGGGTAAAAGCTTTTCGCAGTTTGTAATGCCCATCCACATCATACTCGCTGTTTCAAAAAATTCCTCATTCGCAATGGGCTCAAATATTACCTGTTGAATAATTTCGAAGAAAATCTATCATAAATAGTCAGAGTTTCTGTCTAGCTGCTCCGATATTGCAGAGGGATCGACCATCAGGGAATTCCGTCATATCTGTGAGATGCCAACTGCCTTATTGAAGAACTAAGAACCACACCCGCTATTAATTTACTATGCTCGCAAGTGAATACGAAGACTATTAAAGGTCCAGTTCAGAGTTGAAATGGTTTCTGAAGTTACACTGTAGGATGGACTCGTGAACCTTGAAGATAGCACAAGGGACACCAGCCCATATAGGGCATAATAGGGCTCCAAAAAGGTCCAACTGAAGCGCACACCTGCGTGCTTGCCGTTGCGGTACGGTAGCGAAATCGATAAATTCGCAACTGACTCGTCTATCATGTTCGCCGTAGTGCTAGGAAAAACATATTTTACAAACAAGCAAAATCTTTTTGAAATCATACAAATTGACACGCCATGTGGAAACGGGATAAGCGAGGAAGGTGAGGATAAGCGTCATACGTTCGGGCATACGAGCATATGCCGAGAAGTGATGATGAAACCTGGAAGAAGGGGTCTTTCTAAGATTCAACACGGACTAAACAGTGGGAGCTTTGCCATTTACGAGGGCATGTGGTATGCCTTAATTTCTTCATCAGACTTATCCACCTTGGCTCTTCACGCTTTACCTGCCAGAAGAGAGGGTAGGCACTTCGTTTAAAAGAAGGCGATACTGCTACATAAGCAAGGAGACAAGAGAATTTCAACATTTATTACCCATCTACCTGTTTTTTGTAATTCAACTTCAAATTAGAATCATTTTCAATGCTATTAGCAGAATTCTGAATTTGGGACAGCCATTCCAACTGGGGTGCTAAAGAGGGTTCAGTATCTGTGCTGGCGGTTCAGTGGATTTTATATACTCCGGTTAGTTCGGAGTAGAATAAAACAAGTAATTAGTGAGTGCGGACGTTACCGCTAGTAAAGAACAGAAGAATAGCAAAATAAGTCTTTATCTAAGTACAAAACCTACGTCTCGCCCTTGACGTTGTTCGAGGTAGAAGTGNTAGAGGGAGTCGTCTCAGACAGTGAGACGACGAGATAGTAATTAAGGTGAGGTGATCGTCGCCTTAGACGACGATAGTATCATCGATTTCACTATGTCTTTCATCTTTCAAGAATTCATCACATACACCAAGAATGGGTGATTCTACTTTGCTCCAACCTTTTCAGCGCCTCTGAAGTTTCTTTCAAAGGTCCGATTATTTCTCGAAGATCCAGCTCCACCTATCTAGATATGGGAATCAAGATGATGAACACCATCGGCCCTTGAGCTAAGTGGAACAAAGCGAGCTGCTTGGAGGGCATTGACAGGCATCGACTGAGCAGTCGAAAAAGCAAACAAGTTTTGGATACAGGCGATATATTCTTTTCTACCAGCCTTCTATGGAAGGCTTGAAATTCGCACAGGCAGGATGAGCATTGAGCCAGCGTCATTCAAGAGTTTTGGAAAAGCCATACTTAGATATAGCGGATGATATTCTTCAAGACACCTACCAAAATGCGGAGTTCTTGACAAGTTTGGAAAGATGCTAACTGAGCTGCCATGCCTGCGTTGTGGGCGCTTATTTAGCTGAACTGCTTACTTGACTATTAACCAATGTCCATCGAGCATTGGAACAAAAGGTTGCAGATGGTGAATATAAGTATATTTCTGATACGTTTAATTAGCACTTCCCTTTTAGTGAAATCTAAATAAAAAAAGCTGGAAAAGGCGAAGGTTCTGACAATTCTTCCATATACCTTCAAATGCTAGGTTTGACACCTCTTCAGAAAGTGCTCCAGAATTTTACCCTTGACTTCCTATAAACCATCTAAAGATATTCCGGTACTATCTGTCACGCCTGAATTCCGGGCCGCTTAGTGTCTGTCCGAAATTTCCCGTCCGTCATTGATCTGTTTGCAGAGTCCTGTAATCTGTATCAGGTGAGTGGAATGTCAATTGGATTATGGCTTCATCATCATGATTCCTCCGTTCCGTTGCATTTACGTTCTTTCTTGACGATCATTACATTTCCACATCCTTACCATAAACCCTTCTTGATATCTATGCAATGGGATCAATCACTACCAATCGGGAATTCATTAGCGTCACTGAACCGCTAATAGGCATTGTCAGGCACACCCTTTTCGTGTTCAGGGGCGATCTCAGGTTACAATTGATTCCTTCCTCGAAGACAATGCGTGACATGACACTTCAGATCGTCGTATTCATTCGCGCACTCCGTTGTCGTACCGTACTCCTTGGGTTTCACCGCTTGTGCTCACCACTCGGCCTCCCTCCTCCCGCGCTGAGTATTTAGCCATCTGTCACCTGTCAACCATTTACACAAAAAAAGTTGGAGAATCATCTCATTCGTCGCCGTCTTGAGTACACCCTTCACTAGGATGATTTTCAAGCACCTGTGGTAGTAGATTTGCCGCAGATTTTCTCAGTCGTGCTCAATCGTCGTGAAAGCGCCCTTCCTGCCTCCAATGTACACAGTTTGCTTTTCAGTTTCTACGACCGCTCGCTCGTCGATGCGTACGATCGATATCGTATTTATTTGTCTGTTGTGCACAACCTGGTCAAATTGGGTATCGGCCAGTGAGGACGAATACCGGCTGATTCAAGATCTCCGGACCAATTATGATCCCATTGAAAGGCCTGTTCGAAATCATTCCGAACCGATTCATGTAAACCTTCGGATCCTCCTCCAACAACTCGTCGACGTGGTATGTTCAGATAGTTGTTGTATACCGATTTGCATAATCTAGTATATTAATAGCTGTCATATTTTGCTTGAAAACACTGTGTTTGTAAATGGTAAACAGTGGTTGCCATCGAAGGGAGCATAAGTTTAAAGGATTTGAACCTTCAAATTCTCCCCAAGAGATCACTTGAAACTATTCAAGAGCTCGATTTTCAGCCTTTTGTTTTATTTTATATAAAATATACCTCAGCGGCTCACTTTGTTGACCTCTTCCTTATGCAGACCACTCAAATTCTGACTGTAGAACATTCCGGATTCCCATTTGCCGTCTGAGACTAGTGATACTACATTGCTCCCCCTATTTTTACAACTTTTTACTAAGCTTCGTATATGAACGAGAGAGATCTACTGTGAGCTTCGGTAAATTTTTTTTGCCGATATCTCACTATAAAGCCATCACTGTTTTTGATAGGCCGAGGTGAACGTCCGTCTGTCAAAGTGGAAACCGCCTAAGTGCAGAGCCATCATTTTTGAAATTTTTTGACACATGACCGGTTCCTGTCTATTTGTTTCGAAATATCTTGGAAGTGAGCTGTTGATCACCCGAAATCTTGTGAAAAAACTGGTTAACGGCGGAAGCCAAAAGTTTCTTTTGAAACTATGTGGGGAAGGCTGTCTACGGTATTTGCCGGATCATTTATGTACGCAATTGTTTGTACAGCTCGTATGTTTCATGAAGCTGCAGACAGGATACACATAGTTGGCGGACATTGTTTAACATCAGCCTTCAACGTTTCGATTATTCCAAAAAGCTATCGTCGTTGTAGACCAATCTGAAGAGTTTGTTGTTTTCTACCGTATTCTTTAGTTTCTTCAATCGGTGAAGAATGCTATTCTTCTCGCTTCAAAAATGCTATTGATCGGAGTGAAAACGAAATTTTCGTTAATGCTTTTCCATTTTTTTTGCGGCTAGGTTTCGATACTAGCAGATTTGGCCACAGTCATTCTCAAAATAAAGAGGCTGTTTGGCTTGTCCCAATTTCTAGGCAGTGATGAGTTCAGAGTTAAGAAAAAGAAACTTAAACGGTTTTTCTATTGCTTTTTTTGCCTCTAATTGAAAGCGAACATGTGAGGGTTCCTTTAGATCATAAATGACTCGTACGAAATCTTTGGGGGTTATCCAAAGAGGCTGTCAGGGCCGTACGGCAGTCCACTCAGGTGCCAGCACTGATTTTGAAACAACAAATGCCTTCAGCTGGCTTGCATTGCCAACAGTGCTTGGCCATTGGAATGATTGAATGGATATAATTGAATGAACTTTATCATAGATTTTTTTGGAATCTTTTTCTTCTCATTTGAATTCCATTCGCTCCTCCTCAGGCGTAACATCACTATGGAAACTGGTTGGTTTTCCTATATCGCCAAGGTATAAATGTATTAATGGATATAGGATTTTATTTATTGCATTCGATTGTAGCGGGGGTGGTGTAGTGACAAGTGGTCACACATAAATGGTCTGCGGTTCAAATCTCACACCGATACTACTCCAAACAACCAAACCTACCATCCCTGCGGGATCAGTTGATCTGTAAGAGACTCGTCTGGGAGGCTAAAATCACTGACTTGAACATTGTGTGACCACCACAATTCTTGTATGGGCCGCACACCTATTCATACCGCCACTACGACTCTGATTGGACGCATATCAAAACGAGATTGGATACCGCCGAAGACTTCATCTTTATCCTTATCTTATTTAGCCACTCTGGCTTCATCACACTACAGTATGCAACACATTTGCAAGCTCAAGCCGTGCCTGACAGCGATTTTTTACGTCTACTGTAAAACATTTGATTAAGGATAAATGAAGGAAGTTAAACTCCTTTTCTTTTTGATCGATCACGTTTTGGGATGCGCCAAACATTCGGCTGCTACGTAGAATTGTAGGGGTGTCCCGAATACGTATGTGTACAATGGCTTGTAGCGGTCAGCCAATACATAAATCAGTGCTTTTATCCTCTCACACGACCCTGGAGAAATGGAACGCGCTTGATTCTCTCGAGCACATATCGATCCTAGATTCGAACTGCGCCATGCGTGTGGTACTGTGCGTGGTACCACTCGCCACTACACCAGCTCTGGCCATACGTATATAATTATTATCTTATTATTAGCTTGATGAATCATCTCTGTTATCTTTCTTTCTAGCGAACCTTTCATTCTTTACCACTTGCTACGACTTTCTGTCGCCCTCTTTCGGAGAACATCCAATCCGACTATCTTATCCCTACGGATGCTAGGTCTCCCCAATAAATTCGAAGGGCGCAACATACATGTAGAACTAGGAGATCTATCAGAATCCATCGGTTGCTATCTTTTTCTATCAATTTTCATCACCTCTTGTTTTACTGATCAATTCTTTCTTAAATAAAGTGGGCAGAGGATCGGACTTTTTTTATTTTTTCGCATTCCATTACCATTCTTTATCTGCTATTACCACTGTTGATCTTCGTCAAATAACTAGTTTATTGCCAGAATTCTTCAATGACTGCCTGAGGTAAATCGGAAAAGCAACTTGCTTCCTCATACTATCGTCGGTAGCAATTTATTACACTATTTCTAATTGATTATGAGAGCGAAGTGGGTTAACGGCAAGTGTCGCACTATCGCGTGCGCATGGGCCGGGGATCGTGTCCTAGATCGATATCCGACTGAACCAACCGAAACTCCCATCCCTTCGAGTCGAATAACTGGTACCATGCTCGGTTGGGAATGTGAAAGCATGGTCTTTTCTATCGGCTGGACATAGCAATTCAATGTCTTGGCCAAAATACACGTTCGATGCGCCACTGTGACCTAAATGGAAGTCAAGTGTGGGGAGCATCCTTCAAAAGGAACTGATTAATGCCAAAAACTTTAAACTTTCATCGAATATCAATGTCACTTCTCTGCTGCCATTATCCGTTTGAACTTCGAGAACTCCAAGTCCCCAGAGGACAAATTTATGAACTTCCCATTCGAACAAACACCCACAGACTAACTTTCCTAGTTATATAATGGAATCGTTCATTGGTGTGGGTTAAACAAACAAAACAGTCACTTCTTATTTGTTTGATCTCGACTTCGATTTCGAATTAATCTTCGAATTAATTTTTCAAAATTTAGATGGCTCCAAATATTTGCTTCTGATAAAAGTCGAGCTTAACCTGATATTTTGCCATTTTCGGACGAGAAGAACCAAGTGCTGACGTTGGTTTTATGGACTCAGTACACATGGAACGATTATAAAATGCATTGGGATCCAAACGAATACGGTAATATCACCAATATACAACTGCCCCACGATTTCCTTTGGAAACCTGATATACTACTCTTCAACAGGTAGGCATTTCCTTCAGCTAACAGGGACTATCCTAATAATCCTTCGTGCCACTCTTTTGTGATTATTGCTCAGTGCTATCATTCAGTGCCGACGAACATTTCGATGCATCGTTCCCAGTAAACTTCGTCGTCTCCTCAAATGGTGATGTCCTTTTGGCCCCACCTGGTATAGTCAAAGTCTCCTGCGAGTTGTCAATGACGTGGTTCCCTTTCGACGAGCAAGTCTGCTTTATCAAGGTTGGTCCTGGTCCTAGGAGCATACGGTAGAGATTGCAAGATTATTCCGGCCCTTTCGAGTCGTTTTCAGTTCGTACTAAGGGTCTTATGTTCAGAAATTGAAAGAAACTTTTAGAACTAGTTTCATCTATGAGGCTTGTTTGAACATTGGGGCAAAATAAATAAGCCTATAGGTAAAAGAAGAAGTGATGAATAGATTCTTCCGTTCTCATGCCATGCCCACTTCATTGAAATGCAAGAGCTGGGATGAATCAGGGAAAGGGATGTCCTGAGTATATATTTACTAGTATAAGAGGCATCTTTTTTCTATAGTGGGATACAGGCCCCTGAATGTCGTTGAATAAATAAAGTTCTAGAAAATAAGATTTTATAAAGATAGACAAACCATCGTCATCGCAAATCGGGATGGCACATTGCTCGTTCCAAGGAGAAATCGCATTTTTCACGAAGGGAAGTACCCACCCTGCTAAGTGTGGGGGTGAAAAGTGTAGTATAAGGAGTAGGACTTCCGGCTCTCAACGTTCTTCAAACCGGTAGTTATGCATTTCCTTTCATTCCTCATTTGACTCATATTTTCAATTTCAGTACGGTTCATGGACCTATACGGGGTCGAAACTCGATCTTCACATTGACGACACCGGTCTGAGCGAACGTCACAAGATGGACCTTATGTATTATGTTCCGAATGGAGAATTTGAACTACTCGGTTAGCTGTATCTTCAAACATGTCTTGTCAAACTATGATCGGGTTCAAGACCTAAAATTCAAAGTTACGAAAAATTGGAATACCAGAGAAAACAATGCCATTCGGCCTCAGTTATACCAACCAAAACAAGAAGATTGACGTCTTCTGGCCTCAATCAATCCCGTTTTTGTGACACACCCCGCATCGAACTCCATACAGAATCATAGTGGCGTTTTAAACGCGTGTGATCTCATCCACTGAGTTCCGGTACCGAACGGATGTGCTTGAGCAGACTTGTCTGTTGCGAAATGACCGAATCTGGGAGGAAGGGAACACTAGGTTGATCTGGGCTAGTATGGATCCAAGATTGTGACAGTCCGCCACTTGCCACTACATGACCTCCTCTCCAGGGGAGGCGGGCAGTAGGATCGGTTCTGTGTAATCGATTCGTCGCACGCGGACCATTCGCTTCGCCGTTATTACAGATCTAGCCTTTTTCATATAGCTCAATCGATATGCGATCATTGTTTCAGGCATGATTTTACTGCTAACACTTTTGTTCCTGTATTTGTTACCTGCTGCTGCATTCTGCTACATTCCTTCGCGCGCGGCGTCCCTCTCTCCGCGACGCGACAATTTCGATTCTACTGCAACACCCCGCTCTAGTTGCTCTAATAATGCCGGCACTCCATGGTATGACAGTCAATCAAATAAAAACGAGTTATCGAAGACAAGCAAGTGACCGATATGACATCTTGAAGGTTTATTTTGCGGTTGTTGGGTGGAACACTTCTCTTTTCTGAAAAAGTAGAATCTCCTGTAGTTGTACTCATTTTGGTGGCTCAATGCTGAAAGGATGGTCTATGACATGATTGGATTGCATGGTGCAGTATTATTTCCTAGTACGTGGATTCTAGTTCGGTGTTCGTATGCCTGAAGGCTTCTTCATTTTACAGTATCGTTGTATCAACACAGCAACAATAGCTAACACCCCAAGGTGGCTTGGCTCGATCAATTTGTTTGTCACTGTTACACACTGGTACTTTCTGCTACAAACTGTCTCGTGTATTGTCTATTAAGGGCTAAAAGCGATGAACTGGGGTACAGTAGGTGTAGAAACGGATTTTGGCCTTCGTACAGTGCGTTGGCCTGCAAGCACAGAGGAGCAAGCTGTATGATTATATTAGGTTGGCAAATAAGTCCTGCTACAAAAAATTTGAAGCGTTGAAAATTTGTATCAACAGTGTGAACACGGTAGCAAGGGTGATAAACTTGTAGGAAATTCCCCGGGCAATCAACACATGGGTAAATAAGGTCACGCGTGTGGGCCTTCGCAGCATTACAGTCTATGAATGAACAACACCCATTCGTGCCATCACCTTCTACTGAGCACGCCAAGGGAAAAACGCGGGTGTAGCGGCTCGAAATATCAGCAATCTGTTCGATGCTAGCACTGCTCACCGATCGACGGTCAATAATCGGTTGGATCGCTTCACTGCAGGAGATACTAGCCTTCGGAGTAACGCAAGCATCGTCCCTTAATTTAATG